ATCTTCTGTGTCTGTGTTAATTGGTTTCCCTTTTCTTTGTTGAAGAGGGTCTGTGCAATCCTTCTGCCTAGTCCACCATCTTGCCCCGCCTCCCTTTTCTCTTATTTTTTACTGTATTTTGCAAGATTTTTAAATGAAAAAGTTTTATATAATCATAAAAAACTATGCTTTAATATAACAAAAAACACCACAACAAAATTATTTCTTTGAAATATTACAACAGAATCACTGAAATACATATATATGTGTGTGTTTGTGTGTATGTTGTGGGTGTATAGAAAATATATATTCAGACATTTATAAATAAAATGAAAGTTTATAAATGCTTGATTCCTTACCATTTCAGTTAAATATTACAATGTCAGTGAGTCTGAGATACTATACTGTTTTTGGATAAAATAAAATTGGCCCTACTACAAAGAATACATAAGAAATACCTGCAGATACTTGAAAAATGCTGCAATGGTAGTTTCAATTTACAATGAACAGTTTGAACTATTTTAACAATTATGAGTTCCAGTAGTTGTGTGGGTCTAAGTTAACTTCTCCACAACTAAAAACTGGCTGTTCCCATTAGATGTTTAGATGTTTACTTTCTGGCACTAGACATTATGTATTGTTTTCTGTGTATAAAGTATGTATTATGTTGGCAATGAAGAGTAAGATTTTGTCTCTGCACTCCAGGAGTGTACATGACAGTAGCTAAGTATATCAACCTGATTCTAGCTCCAGTAGGAGAAGAGAGCCAAGAGGAGCTGTGGAATTCAAAATAAAGTAAGACTATATTGGGTAGGTGTAGAAGATCTAGAGATTGAAGAAGGGTATTATAATGTGTCAAAACTGATAATTTAGCATAAACTGGCAGAATAAGGCTTTTGTTTTTCTTTATGATTTTTATTTCCTTCATTCCTATTTTTCCTTACTCCCTCCTTCCTTCCTACTATCTCTACCTTTATCCCTTCTTTTCTTGCTTGCTTTTTTGAAGCCATTGAAGCATTTTAAGTAACAGAATGATCAGAATTGTCCTTTGGGAGAACATTCTGAGCACAGAAATAGGAGATTTATAAGAGTAGGAGAGTTGTGACAAGGAGAGGCTATCCCTGCAGTCCAGGCTATGGCAACAGTAACACTACCTCAAAAAAGAGTTACCACTCACTGGTTTCTTCAGCAAATATTTTGAGCATCTGTTTTATACAAGATGCTGTTCTATGTTCTGAGGATAAACACATAGGCACATATACATCACATTTCTGAACTTCAGTGAACTTAGAAGAATAGACAGATACATACAGAGCTAAGTATATCACAAATGATGATGGATGTAAGATGGAGACATATATGATGTGTTGGAAATATAGAGGAGATTTAAATGTAGAGAGGAGCTGGATGTGAGGGACATTGAAGAGAGAAAATTGGCATGACTTGGCAGTAAGCAAGTGTGGCAAGTAGAAAGGAGTCCTATGCGATACTGAAGTTTGAAGCATCACTGGGTCCTTGGAACAATGTTGGTACCACTAATGAAAACAAGAATTTTCATTGCATTTGTAGACGAGCTGGTAAAATTACTTAGGTATCTATTGAATAAGTACTGGTAGGTCTCCATCAGAGAGTTGGGAATATGGCTTTGGTGGCAGTGGAGAAAGCAGAGCAAGAAATGACATATTTGGGGATTGTCCATGCATGTGTAAGACTCAAAGTTTTGAAAATAGACGCAGCTGAAGGAGAATGAAAAGAGAAGCAAAAAGATCTGATTACCAAAACTTGGAGTATTTTACATTTGGAGGGTTTTCAGAAGTGGATCTTTGAAGAACATGGAGAATGATTAACTGGAGTTTAAGGGGAAAATATTACTATACAACAGAGTCTAAGGGTGGTGCAGGGAGCTCTGGTAGCGTAGTGCCTAAGGCACTTGACTGCTAACCAGATGGCTGGCGGTTCAAATCCACCAGCCACTCCTCGGAAGGAAGATGGGGCAATCTACTTCCATAGTGATACCGCCTCGGAAACCCAAGGAGGGGTCGCTATGAGTCAGGTCTGACTCGATGGCACACAACAACAACAACAAAGGGTGGTACAGAGTTTCAAAGTTTTAAGTATTCAGCAATATCAAGTACTGCAGAGTGCTTTCCAAGAAGTAGACTGAAAAAGAGGTTCTTAGATTTGCTGATTAAGCATCATTGGTAGATTTCAAAAGAGTGTTTGAATAGAACAATGAGTAAGTGCCAAAGTGTAGATGTGTTACATATTCTTAAAAGTGTTGGTAATGAAAGAAGCAGAGAAAGTTTATTGATTTTATTTTATTAATTCATTAAGTTTATTAGTGAATAAGTTTAAGACAGTATTAAGGAAACTATTTTTAGAGAAATTAGAGACCAAAGCTTCATGTCAAACCATACAGTTTCTACAGAAACTGTGCCCAGAAAGTGGATGACACAGGAGGGGGAAGAGATAAATTTGTCTTTTTTGCAGGCCTAACCTTCTATATATGTACTTCCTTCTATGTCTCTGTATGACACTTATGTTACTGAGTTGGTTAGGAAGCAGCTGAGGTTGTAAAGTCATTTTTTCCCTGACAAATACTCAGGCATTAAGTGTGATATGATATGAGAGGATAGGATACAGGGCAATTCTGTTCTTCTTTATAGCAGAACATCCTAGGTCTGGAGTAAATGGATTAAAACATAACCCTAGCATTATAAATTCAACATTGTCAAAAATACGTAAGGGTCTTTTCCCTGAGTATTAGAGACTGTCAGAAACATAATAAATACCATTTAAACAATTGGGATGGAGACATCTGAAGTATAACAATTTAAGATGTAATCATTTGGTTTAGGAGACAGATCCTGGCTCGCACAGCAGCTGTCAGCCATAAGACTCAGTAGATGAGGCCACTTCAACATAGTTGCTATCATTTTTTTGTTTGGTTTGGTTTTAAGTAGAACACAGTGAGAGAAAATACAATTCAAGCAACTAGTGTCTAATTTTATGTCAAAAAGCTACTTGAGTAGATCATTGTTTTAAAATATATTAGCTGTGATAAGAGATTTGACAATATCTCAAATTCACTTGGACATTTGTGGAAAAACATATTCCTGGAAAAGCTACATAAAGGCCTATCTCGTTAATTTTCAGCAGTAAATTATTCCACATTCTTACTAAAGTGGGGTATGATAGCTAGAACTTGCTTTAAAAGAGGTAAATATCACAAGACAACCTTTTCCATCTCCTTTCCTCCCACCTTGCAGTGGATCACTTGCCCTCACATAGTCTATGTCTCCAACCCTGGTGAGCTGTGTGTTTAAGCTCTGTTGGTCATGAGCAAGCTTAGTCAGATAGGGTAGGGCAATGAGGACACAGCTGTTATCATTATTGGCAAAATCAAGCTGAGTGTGTTTAGTGTTCTACAAATAGATTGCCAATGCAAGGACTTGGAAGGTGCTGGCTATGAGATCTTGTTGGTGTGGATAGATGTGAAGGTAATGTCAGTTGTAACATGGGGGAGGGGGAGTTAAGTGCCATTATAGAGATATGAACTGCAAGCTGAGGGCCGTGAGGAGGGACTCTTTTAGCTCACGATAAGACTGGTGAAGGGGCACTAGATAATTAGATGAGGTTTCTTAGAACAAATGCCTCCTAAGCAGAGTCCTGAGATAGAAGGTGTTGTAAAAAGGAAATGAATAATGAGTGTTCCTAAAAAAGAGACCTGCAAGGAACATGTGGGACTGAAACTTAGTGAAAAGACAGAACAATAGCAGATACCTCTAAGGCTCTGAATTCTAAGCTGAGAATTAGTGAGTATCAGTGCTGACATGCTGAATGTTGGATAAAGGCAACCATATTCAGTAGCATTCATTGCTAGATGCCACCAAAGGTACACAGACCCAGGTGCTTGCTCTAGGGAAGATCAGAAATATGTTCCACTCACTCATTAGCATTAAAAGTCCTTTATGTAGTCACATTTGTAAACTTTCCCTTTGAGCTATTATCAGTTCAAAATCTATTTCTACTTCACTGTTATTAAATTCATTGGTTCAGTGGGTATTTTTGATTGTGTGTAAGGTTGCGATCAAGGTTGCAAAGAAAACTTCAACCAATACAATATACTAAATGTAAAGTAACAATTATTAATTAAAACATTATATATTTCTTGTTAAATAATGTCCATAATAATAATTAAAAAAAAAAAAAAAAAAAAAACCTAGCGTCTCAGTTGTACATCTGGGAAGATAAAATTAATTTTTTCCTTGTGGTTTCCCAGTAGTTGTTTTCTTGTGGAGTTCATATAGATTGCTTTTATATTAATTAGCTTTGCTTTTAATTTTTTTTTTTTGGTTTCTTTACTTATAATATGTGCTTTTTTTAACCATGTTTGTTAAAGATATGCACTCAAAGACTCTTTCTTTAGTACCCTTACTCCACATTCTGCTCAGAGAATTGATTCTTTCTGCGTGACATCATGTTGCTTTTTTTCTGGCTCATATATCAGCTGTTTATTTTTCTTTTTTCTTCTTTTTCTTTTTTTAATTTTTTCCCTGTCTTTTCTACCTTCCCTTCTCCCTCCCCTTCCCTTTTCTCTTTTGTTTTTCTTTGTCTTCAGCCTATTCTGCAAACTTGGAGTTCTTGTCAGGCATAGGATTTCACTATTTGGTAAGGAGACCCTTGAAAAAATACTAGCATGGCCTTCACCTGGTTTTCTTTGCCATTTTTTGCACTGTTTTGTGTGTGGCTATGTTGCATGAATGCATGGTTGCACGGCTGCATGCATGATTGTCATAGGCCAAGATAAGGCCCTCTAGGTTGTTTATCTCTGGTGCAATTAAGAACGGTAATCATTTTAAATTACTCTCAAGAACAATTGAAATTCACAACATTGTGTTATTAAACAAGTGAATGACAATGGTAGCCATGTTTTATTTAGAGGGGTAAAGCAAAATTGGGCCCTTCTCTTTGTGTTGGGTTGTCTCTGATAGATTAAATGATGAACTGTTGTAAATAAAAATGTTAAACTGCACTCATGTTTTTGCTGTCCTTGACTATAGATGTGCATGTCTACTACATTCCAGACATTGGAACTTCGTAGCAGAGACAGATGGGCAAGAGTGACTTTTGTAGCACCACTTACCCCAGAGTCAGTTTTTGTTTCTGATAAATTATTTAGCTGAAGCCCACATTCCCGAGCACTCAAAGAGCAGTCACTCCCTTCCACACATTTTCTTTTCTGTGAGACTTTAGCAGTTGATAACATCTAGCAGAATTTGGGTTTTACACTTTCCTGCATCTGCTTCTATAGAGAACTAATGTAAATTTTAGCCCTTTGTTCAGTGGATTTTTAAATGATGTTGGATGATTTCACTTCCAAAAAATTTAGTGTGTTGATAGAGATGATATAAATTCAAATTCATTTACAGGAAAATCTAAGGATTGAAACAAATAGTCATTTCTACAAAAGCCACAGTGAGTGAACTGATGAATAGGCCTATCTGCAAATAACTTTTAAGCTCTTTACAACATTATATTTATGGAGAAATGATAGTTTCTGGATATATTTAGTGAATGCTGTATTTAATGTCTAGTGTTATTATTGCATCCAGTACCTGATATTGGATGAAATTTAGTAATTAAAAGTTATATTTTATATGTTTGTTTTTTGCATGTCAGTTTTTTAAACATTAGTGGAGAAGTATCTGCAGAATAATTTCCACTTGACTGACTTTTGTTTAACTTCTCTTCAACAAAGATAAATGTCTATGAAAATTGTTCAGACAGGATTTTTATATGCTGTTTAACTGTCTCCTAGTAACAATGAATTCAAATACTCTCCATTTTTTTGCAGAGAGAACTCTACTTATATAGAACTCTTTGGGGGAGCCCATTTCTCAGCTGCAGTTTGATGTGTTTTTGTCAGTGAGAATAATGATATTTTTCTGCTCTGCAATTTCTATTTACTTATTGTAGGTTCTTGAATTACAGTAGTATTTAACTGTATGAAAACCCTGTGGAGTGCAATTTTACTCTGACACACATGGGATTGATTGTCCTTAGTTGGAATTGACTCAAAGGCAATTAACAACAACAACGTAAGAATAAAATAAGACAAAAGTGAGAGTTGAGGCTAAGAAATACTTGGGTTTTGTGAATGTAAGCAGCTTTAAAAGTGCAAAGGATTCATATCAACTTGGAATGTGTGAAGAAGGTGGGGTTGGAGACAAGAGAGAAGCATTAAAATAAAGAAAGAAGATAAATAAATAAATAGTCTGTATGGTGGTAATAATGGTGTTCAGGGTTTTATGCAAAATGGAATACATGTTCCAAGTTGGCAGTCACATCTGAGCTGTAGCTCCACACTTTGTCTGCAGTTTAAATATATTTCTGATATATGAAGTAAGGATTCCCAAAACTTGGACTTCTATATTTGCTTATATTTTTTCTTTACTTTAAAATGTTTCCTATACATTGAAACACAGCACACAACCAAACGATTATACATCAAGGTCAATAAATTGTGTTTATATACCTCATATATTTTTTGCGGTATTAAATAATCTTATTTCATATGATAAAAGATCAAGCTTTTAAAAAGAGGATGAGCTGTATTCCCCACAGAACAGGAGTTAAAATACTCTGTAAGAAAATAAAAAAGAGAATTATATCTTGTTTAAATTTAGGCTTCTCTGCTTGAATTCTGCAATATTTGCTAGTTATTGAACACAGGTCCACTCATACTCACTGCTGTCGAGTTAGATCTGACTCACAGAGACCCCTCCTTGGGTTTCCGAGGGGTCCACTCATATCTTTGGAAATTCAGTTAGGAATAAATAGAACATAGGCATGTTGACAAATGGTAAGGATCCCATTTGCCATTTTCAAAGTCCCATTATTGATTAAAGAAATAAAACTTTTAATCCCATTATTTCCCCCTACTTTTTCTATCTGGAAATTCTCTTTAATAATTTCAAGGCAGTTAAAATATATACAAGCTCTCCTCTTACATCCTATATAAACTTTCCAGTCATTTTTAGAGGAAGTGGAATCTGGTAACTAAGACTCTGATACAACATTGAAAGGACAAGGATGATGGTGGCACAGGTATGTGCATACTAAGCTGTCTTAGGGCTTTATTTTTTACACTTGAAAATAACTCTAATGCCTTAATGGCATTCATTTTTATGCATTTGTCCAATAAACATTTATTGTGTGTCTGCTATGTGCAAGGCAGCCTGTCAGGGTGAGGATAGAAAACATGATTTCTTTTTCTCTATACTGCTACCAGTCACAAGCATCTTTTCACCTGTGATGCCCCATTGTCTCTGAATTCCTCTTGCCTCTCTCCTCTGTGCTTCACACCAATCTTCTCTCCAAAAACACCAGTCTTTCATATCATACCCCTTGTATATTTAGTGACTTCACATTTCTTTTAGAATAAAGGTCAGAATTCTTAACTTGGTGACATGCTGTTTCCCAGTCTATCCTCTATATACCACACCATCCACATTTAGAGCATATTCTCTTTTACTCACTATGCTTCAACTTAACTGCCCTCTCAGTCTTATGAGTGTGTTATATCCTTTCTATTACAGAGTCTTTGTATGTGCCTGGGATGAGAGCACCATATGTCACAGTCTCCTCCGTAACCCTCACACCTGTAATGGGGTATACTCATTTTTCAAATTTCAACCTAAATATTAATTTTCAGGAAAGTCTTTCCTGACCTCCCTGATTATAATGCTGCTATCATAGTATACTCATGGTTCCATGTACCCTTCCTTCATATCATTGATAGTTTGATTACTCTCTCACATAGAACTCTCAGCTGTTGAAGGCAGGAACCCTCTCTGATTTTACTTATTGCTGTATCCCCAATACCTAGCTGTGAGTCTGGCACATAGTAGATATTTTACAAATAGCTGATAAATGAATGAACCAACAGGTCCTATTGTCAAGGGTCCTATCGTTTAATAGAGAAGATAGATGAGTAAGCAGAAAATTATAGCAATGAGATAAGTACCTTGCATTTGCAAGTTTTCTTACATTGATGAATAACTCATGCTTAATTTTTTTTTTTTTTTT